TGGTGTCTTGCGGTTAGAATGATATCAACAGAATCACTACACAGAGAAATTAAGTACCTCAAATGTAAGTTTCCGTGTGCATCACCTGCTAAAAGCAGGTCAATAGAATTCGTTGTTTCATCATCCATTTCATCTCCATCAGTCTCACTTATATTTCTTAACAGTTTACTATATGAGGAGAAATTAGGTTCAGTGATTTATTGGAGCATTTAGATCTCGCACGAAAAAAACCAAGGTGATCAAGTTACGCACCTGATCGGCTGGACACGTGCCAATGTATTCAGACGAGGCAAGTATTTTTGAATAGGATGTGCACTAAGAAAATTGTTGGCTTCCTAAATAATTTAGAAGTTCTTTTTGTTTTAAGTATATAATATTAATATCGTTGGTGTGCTCCAATTATAATGACATCTAACAAAAATTATCAAACAACCTGTTGTCCAAAAATCATGTGATCTGGATTCGCGCAAGTCTCGTGTACCCAGTGAAGACAATTGATCCCAGCGCATATTAAGTGTAAGGAATTAGTCGATTCGATAGGTTTTTGAATTAACTCGTGTATCATTTCTAATTTATCTACGTTGTAAAGTCGAATTATTCCATTTGAATAACCAATGGCGATAACTTTACCTTGAATAAAATAATGATAATAATAATAATAATAATGAGTTCAAAAGGCCAAGGCCTCACATTACAAAACGTTTGGTCTAGAACAACGAGAATCTTACCATCAGGTCTCCAGGCCAAGGTTTCAACTTTTCCCTCGTCGTCCAAACTGGGAGTCAGAGTCCATATTTTCTCCAGGGCATTATACCACCTCGCTACCCAGACGCTTCCAGATACAGTGCAAACTGCGATCAGGTCCATCGTCGAACACATGGAGATCATTTTTATAGGTGAGTCGACTACATGTTTCTTTATTATGTGAAAGGATGCGTGCGCATCACCTTCCTGTTGGAAGATCATATTCGATAATTCAACTTGAGAACGATACTGATTATCAAATTATCTGTATAAAAATAGTCATATGACATTCACGTGAGATGTGCGAACGTAAAGTATAACAGAAAAACTACGGAAAAACTGCGGTACAACTTTTCCTTTTGGCATTTTCAATTGAAAAAACGCGTTTTTTTGGTTCATTTACTTTGACGCTCATGCAATTGCACCCAAGTCACTAGAAAATAAGAAATGTCCTCAATTTTCGATGGATGTTGTATTACATTCTCTGGCGTGTTTGACGCTGGCAATCATAGCAAACTACAGACCATTGTCAAGGAACATGGCGCAGTCCACTCCTCCAGTCTAACGAAGAAAACCACCCATTTGGTCGTAACAAAAGAAGATTATGCGAAGCCTAGTATGAAAGTTACTTCAGCTAGAGCAAGAGCCGAAGAAATATCAATTGTGACTTGGCAATGGGTCGAAGATTCTATCAGTCAAAAGTGTAAGTTAGACGAATCCAAGTATTCCATTACTGCGGATGCCGATGATGATGATGTCGATATGACCGATGCAAATGGGGTTGACAAAGACGATAAACAAGAATCTAAAGATGTCTCACGTAAAAGAAAACGAGTGGTTAAAACCGAGGAAGAAGACACGACCGATGAAAATTCTGTTGTCGTTGCTTCAAGTTCAAAAAGTGTGACAACTAAGAAAAAAAGGAAAATAAAAACTAGTACGTCCTCCACTAGCGTGCAGACTGTTGATGTTAAGATTGTCGAAGAGAAAAAAATGGTCACAATAATAAAAAAAGGGAAGGCGCCTGTTGATTCCTTGTTTTCAGAGAAAGATCGTACTCACGTATATTCAGATGATACAACTGTATGGGATTGCCTTCTTAATCAAACCAATGTTGCAAATAATAACAATAAATTCTTTGTTATCCAACTCTTGAAGCTTGATTCTGCGAACCAATATTTTGTCTTCACTAGATGGGGCCGAGTTGGCTATGATGGGCAGCAATCTACTTCGGGCCCTTTCATCGACTTGGATGTGGCGAAAAGAGAATTCGAGAAAAAATTCAAGGATAAGACTCGCAACTCCTGGGATGAAGTGTGT